GTATATCCTGTCTCAAAATTGCCAGACGAATGAGAACCAGACAAATGAGAATTTGGCAGTTTTTTTTTTTTTTTCAAAAAAAGGTAGAAACAACATTAAATAAAAAAATAAGCAATTCTATCCGATAGAGAATTCAAATTTGCAATACATATGAATTTTCCGCTAAACACTTGAAAAATAATATTTTTTCACAATATGAACTGTCAATTATAAGTACACTGCGTTACATGCCAGAAGAATGAGTATTTAGCACTTTGATGTGTATTTTTTGCAAGAAATATATTTTTTTTTTCATCGGCTGCTTTTTAGTGCCACAATAGAAACCATTTAGATTTACAATTTTCATAAACAAAAAATTTTTTTTTTCAAAATTAATATACAGAATAAGCTTGACCGCTCATAATTCCCTCGTTTGTAGAATCACCCATATGTATACAGGAAACATTACTAATTTTGTTTCGTACTCATATACGCATCACAATTTTGATATCATTATTAACGAAACTAAATTAAATTAGAAATTCTGCTTTCCCGTCAGTCAAGTTTGTTAAACGTCGCTTCTGAGATTTCCATGTACTAAGTTTAAATGCAATCTGTAATTGAAGCTGCAAGAAGCTTAATTAACAGAATTCTGATATCCTCAAGTGGAAATATTAAATTTGAATATTTAATTAAGCTATTCACTTTATTATTAAATTAAATATACAAAAAAAAATAATTATTGTATAATAAATTCCTGTTGAAAAAAAAATGATAAGATTCTTCAGTTGATAATATGAAATCTCTCTGTAACTCATTGTAATTTACTTTTTAAATAATTCTTTGGCTTGAGATTGCATGTTTGACAAAGTTTTAAAACTTAGTGTTATATGAAATCTGTATCCTAATGCTAGCTAACAGTATCAGAAATAATTTATTCGTAAGTGAGTTTACAGTTTTAGTGAATTTTCCATGCGAGTGACAGAGGGTTTCAAGTCAATTAAAGTTATGAATAAATTTACAAAATCTATCATTGTTTTAATATGTCAAATCGCATTTACATTTTCTTGAATGGACAAAAAAAAAAGAAAGAAATTAAAAAACTGCACCTGTAACAGATGTTTTTTTTCAGAAAAACGACTTCTCTGAGGAAAGTTCGATCAAATGATGGATATTTAACGTTTTAAAATTTCTAGCTAATGAAAATTCGGGTAAGTAAAACTTCGGTCAAATAAAGTATCCATGAAATAGAAATTTTCTGTCTTAAAAATTTAGCTAAGTAGAATTTATATTAAATGACAATTCTATTAAATAAAAATTAGATTGTATAGAAATTTTTTGAATAATACTTTTGTTAAATAAGAATTTTGTCATATAGAAATTCTTTTAATAAAAATACTTTTATGTAAATATTCGGAAAAATATAAATTCGACAAAAAAACAATTTTGATAAATAAAAATTCTTTTTTATGAAATTTCTTCTAGATATAAATTTTGTTAAATGGAAATTGTATTGTATAAAAATTCGATATATTAGAAAATCTGCTTTATCACAGTTGAGTTAAATAGAAATTCTACAAAATCAGAATTTTGTTTAATAAAAATTTTTCGATATTAAAATTATATCATTATAAAATCTACTTGTTTAAAATTCTATACTGAATGTAAATTCAATAATATTTAATTCGATACCACAAAAATTTCGGCAAGTCTAATGAAGGGAATATTCATGCGTCTCTAGTCAAGTATATGTAATCGATTATTTGAATCAAATAAATTTTTTTTTTCAGTGTAATAATATCTTATATATCTATATTTTAAAAATGTGTTAAATTTAAAGATACGAAATCACATCGTAAACATTCTATTTTTGATTAATAATTTTTTTTTTATATTATTTTAATTTAATTTTTTTATCCATACTGTTTGATAAATATATATTTTTTCATTAATTAAATTTCCAAATAATTAAACTTGTGTTGCAAACTTGTGTATATATTTCATTTTTGAAAATACAATTAATCTAAAAACGCTACATAAAAATGTCATTTCTTTTTTTTTTATGGGGAATTTTAATCATCGGTAGATGAAAAAAAAAGAGAAAAAAATGATGTTGAATAGAAAGAAAAAAAAAGAAATGAAAAATTAGTATCAGAAATCGAATGTTTTTGGGGGAAAAATCTAAGAAGGGAATGTTTGAATTCGCCCACGTGTTGGCTAAGTGACGTAACTGGGGGGGAAACGCGTGGGTAGCGCGCGTAGTTATACATATAGAAAACTGAGAGAGAATGATGATGAGAAGGGTAAGGAGAGATGAAATGGAGCCAGGGATCAATGCAACGACAGAACCGGGAGATAGAGATAGTAGAACCAGAGAAATCCCTCAAGATGCTACACACGATTCCTTGAAATATAAGATCAATGCTAACGCGGTTCGATATTAAACTATGTTGGAAACAATTTATCGTTGTCCAATTATTTTTTTAAATTTCATCTCTAATATAAAAGAAAAGAAGAAAAAAAAATTATATCCTTCGAATATATACATACATATTTTTTTCTCTGATGATGATCGATATAAACTGCAAATTCTCATATATGCAGTGGAAATTGAAAGACGTCAGTTATTGGAAAAGAGGTCATGAGACAGAAATTCTCACTGACCTTATCTACTCGTCTAATATCTGTCATCGCACAGGAATATATATATATATATATTTTTTTTTCAGGACAAAAGGGAAAACCTATGGTTATTTCTGTCCCTTTGCACTTTATATACTCGATGCGCACCTGGTTCAATCGTTTTATCATGGTTCGTTAAATCGTGTGCCTAATCAACTATATGAACGTCACACACATCCTCCCTCAATTTTCCCTTTCTTTATCAATAGCGGCAACAAACTCAATTAATCGCAATGCGTATATAAAACCATTTACAAGACTTTCAAATTTTTCTGAAAAAAAAAAAATAATAATTCGCTTTTTTGAAATATTTGCTATTCTCATATCTAATTACATTTACAAATTTAATCTCAAAAATAAAATATTGCACTTATATTCACTTTTAAATACAATATACAAAATTTATATAAATCGATATATTTTATGTGAAAAACAAACAGAGAGAGTAAATCGGTTGCATATTTTTCGGAAAAATTGTTAATATTTTGTTTTTTTGTTTTCTAAATTCTGCATTTGTTTCTTTTTTTTAGTTTGCATTTTTAATGAATCCCAGTGTAATGCAGATTAAACTAATTATATAAATTTCTTAAAAATAGTTTAGTTTTTGCTGCCACAAAGAATTTCTAAAGCATCCTACGTTATTAAATACCAATAAAGGGTCGAATATCAATTTCAAATGTGTATATATAAATATCCCACAGAAAATAGAAATATATTTTTATAAAATGAATCTTTTAATTTCAAGGTGTCTTCTATTATAATTTTCTTTCTATTTGCAAGAACTTATCAATTTTGACTTATCTCAACGTTGATAAATTTTTTATAGCATAAAAAAAATTATTAATTGAAACTATTTTCCGCAATATTGTATAAAAATAAAATTATATAAAAAGTTTAACTTTAACATCAACTTTTTTCGAGTCTTCTATTTTTAAATTTATTAAAGTACTACGTAACCATATATTTCAAAATAGAAATGTTGGCACTGCGGTCTAATTATGTTTTTCTTTTTCGTAATTTGATTACTTTTGTAACATTATTATTTAGGTATCTATGTACTCAAAGGGCACAGCCCGTTTACAATTTCTAAATAAATATAATTAATGAAATATAGTTAATTTAATATTTTTTAATAAAAATAATAAGAAGAAAGAAATAAAATCAAGTGGATAATATAATTATTCACTTGACTTTATTTCTTTCTTCTTATTATTTTTATTAAAAAATAAATGAAAGATCGTCAAACTTGATATCTTAATTTATTCATTAGATTGACGGCGTTTAATTATTTAGTGACGAGAAAATTGGAAATGCTATATTATTGAAATCTCGTATGATTATTTATTTAAATTTCTCTAAAAATTCAATAAATATATGAAAAATAAAATCTAAAGAGAATAATCACATTACTTATCGAATTTATATCTAACGTTTTTTTTATTTTATTAACATAAATATTTTTAAGTTTATGGCCTTAGGTCCGTAAGTGTAAAAAAATTTTAAAAAGTTTGAAACTTTTAGATGTATAAAAATTTAGTCTTTATTTTCTTTCTCTCTAATGCATTTTCGTTGCGAACGCAGCTCATCAGAACTACAAGAAATTTATAAGATTATTATTAGAAAAAACCATTTTTTAAAATTGAATTAATATATGCTAAATTGTATAGATTTTCTTACCGCATAATGAAGCGATTAAAAATATTATTTAATACAAGGTATGAAGCCAAGAAAAAACTTTAGGCATCTCACATCATTAAGATGGAACACAATTAAGTGTTAAATAAAATAGGTGCACATTTTGGTGAAAAAAAACATCAAAAACACTAAAAAATTAGTAACGTATAAAGATATAAACATAAAAATAAATAAAATAAAAAACGTGCCAACCATTATTTTATAAACAAAAATTTATAAATTTGAAAAAATAGTTTACTTTGCAAATTATTAAGCGGATGTAAATTTTAAATAAAGAAAAAGAAATTAAAGTAAGACTTGGTTTAAAATGATTTTAATAAAATTCCTGATCTTATTATAGTAGACACCCTGAATTTTTTTCCAAACTTAATCTTTTAGTTACTTTAAAAAAAATTACTAAAATTTAATAAATAATTAATTAAAAATTTCAAAACATAATCGAACTAACTTGATTGTTTTTTTTAATATTTATTGATTTCTGTGATTATCTTGTAGACTGAATTAATTTTATAAAAGAGAGGAAAGTTTTATTGGTCGCGTTTAGAGTGAGTCTGTGACTCTTGGTTTGTAATATAGATATATACATATATGTATATATATATGTAGTTTGCGGACGCGCTCATTAAAATGAAAGGTTGACTCACCCTTTTCAGACCCGTCCGGCTCGTCGCTAGCACACTCGGGGGTACTTCTCTCCTCCTCACTGCTGCTGAAGCTTCTTTGTTGCTGAAGAGGACCTTGAACACCAGCTGATGGTGGACATGGTTGAGAGGGATGTGCACCTTGTGTCGAATGAACTAAATGTGTCGGATGAATCGGAGGTCGAGAACTCTGCTCCACCGGATGACCATAGGCCATTGCCACATCAGAATTTTGTTCCTTTAAAAAATTTAAAAAATTCATTAAAACAATCACATTAATATACTTAAATATACTGAAAAAAAAGTAATTTAGTGACATATTTTTAACGCGATTTTATCAAAATGAAATTTCTCTGATTTAGTTTCAGAGAGCATTGATTTTATGTAATTAACATCAAGTTAATTTTTAATAGTCATAAAATTAATAAATTCTGTTATAATTCTTAAAATAATTATTTATTCTAGTAATTTTTTTCTCATTTTATCACTGCATGTATTTATATAAGAAACGTTTAATTATTATATATGAAAAGTATGAATGTTTTTGAAAATGTACTGAAAGAACCATTTAATAATCTGTTTTACTTTCAGAGTATGGAAACCAACTTTACAAATAAAAAAAAAAAATAAATAATGAGAACACTTTTAAATGGTAACTGCATATTTACATACATTCTTAAATACATATGAGGCATTCTATCTCAAACCATTCCACCTTCAAAAGACGATCGCTAGCTGAGCGTGTTTTAATTTAATTTTTCTATATAAAAAAGAAATAATTTATATATAATGTTACACACTATTTCGAAAGAGTTTTCAGATATCAAGAGTTTAATATTTTAAAACAGAATTTCTTTATGAAATTGTGAGAAATTAAAAAAAATGTTAAGACCAATCGAAAGATTTTTAAATTCTCTATCGAAATACTGTATAACATTATACAAATCATTTACTTTTTTATATAGAAAAATTAACTTAAAAAACGCTCTGCTAGCGATCGTCTTTTGAAGGTGGAACGGTTTGAGATAAAATGCCTCATATATTGAAAGTATCGATATAATGAAAAAAAAATGAAATAAAAATTGAAAACACAAAAAATTAAATCGAATTAATAAATTAGAAATATTATGATTATTTTCAACTTCTAAAAAAAATTATATAATTTCAGAAATTTACTTGAAATTTAATATATTCGTTTGGTTTCTACAGTCTGACTAAAATCAGTTATTACTACTTAATTTACCAACTATATATTAAAGTTCGTTGCATTCTTTTGATTTTAAAACTCTCTAAATCTAAATTAATTAAAAATAGCTAATTATTAATAAAATTAGTAAAATAAAACTATAATTAACGGTAAAAAAGAAATGAATATAAATTCAAATAATTGACTATTATTTTAGAGGATATCATGAATATGCCATTACGCATAGAGATATAAATTTCTGAAAAAAATTAATTAACAACAAACAAAAATATTCAATTGAAATATAAGCCACTAACAATAAATTATATAATTACTGTACTTTTCTCGAAATGGAATGATTGTGTGTTAAAATTTTTCAAAATTAAAAAAAAAAAAAAAAAGACATTGTTTTATCTCTCCATACCATTTGATAGATATTTTGTTGCATCTGATATTCCCTCATGAGTCCGTCGAGTTCGCCATGATAGAGACTAGGATCGTCCTCAGGAAAAGCACCAGGATGCCTTGGTGTCTGTTGCGATTGAAAAGAACTGACTACGTGTGGAGTCGGTAAGCTTCTCGAATGAGGTGAAACTGCCATTTCCACCCCACTGTCACTCGTAGACATACGCCTCCCTGTTGCCTATAAAATATAAAACTATATGAATGCAAATATCAATGCTATTTTTATTCATTATATGGATATGTATATTCATTTTTATTATTTAATTTTATTCACTAAGAAGAAAAATAAATAAAAAGAAAAGAAAGAAAAAGAATTGAAAAGAATATGGATTTTTGTTTGAATTTAAAAAAAATTAATTTGTTTTTTTATTCTCATATTATACCGTTTCCTGTTGCGAATATTGTTTCCTGAGTACACTTGCACTCCGTTGAAGTAATGGCAGATTTTCTTTTTCCGCTGCACTGTGCGCTCTTTCCAATTTTGGTCTCTTATCCTGAATTTGTTCTTGATGCCCTGGGGAAACTCCACCCTGCATGTCCTCTTGCATTCTCCTCAACATTGCATTGTCCGCCGGACCAAGATTTGTCTTTGTCATCCATTGTCCGGTCTTCGACAACAGTTCCTGTTTTTTTCGACAGAGAATGCATACCCATATCACCTGAAAAAGTAAAGACAAAAAAAAACACTTAATAAAATTTTACGAAGAAAAAAACAAACTACTTAAAAGTAGCCATTTCTTAGCTTAAAACTATTTTAATATGATTTTTACTATATTTTTAAAACTATAAAAAAAATTTATACAGTCTTATATTGTATTTATGTGATTTTTTAAAACAAATTTCCATAGATTTTACATAAACTTTTCATAAAAATTTCCACGGAATTTCCATTTAAAAATATTATACACAATAATAATTGACAGAGTGTAAGTGACACAAAATTTTTAACTGGAAATTCCATGAAAATTTGATGGGAATTTTATAGACATTCCGTGCAAAATTGATATTTGTGTCCCAAATAAGGAATTTTCGATTTAATTTCCACAGGAAATTCCAGGGGTCACTTTTGCCAAATCTTTTTACATGGGATGGGAATTTTCATCAATTTTCCAAGGAAATTCAATTAAATTTTCATTGACTTTCCATTAATATTTCAAAAAAATTAAATTAAATTTTCATTTTCTCTCCTTTAAAAAAAATTCCATTCAATTTCTACGAAATTTTCGAATGGAATTTCTTTGGAAATTCCTGGAGTACTCTTCGCGGAAATTTTTTATCTGAGTACATTTTCATCAAAATTGAAAAACTTAGGGGCAAATTTTAATTAATAACAGTTATACATAATTTATTTGACGGACATTTTTTCAATAATAAAACGAGCTCATGCTTATAAATAATTTTTTCAATTAAATAGTAAAATGTAAATTTTTTTTTAATATTAATTTTGATAGTTTTTTTTTATGCATTTATGAAAAAGAAAACTTTTTGACAAAAAATGACTCTAGAAAGTAAAAAATGTTAATTTTCACCCAAAAAAGTCAAATTTATTTTTGATTTTTTTTCCAAAAATGCATTTTACCAATCAACATTGCGTAAAAAAAAACTAACAAAACTGATATTAAGAAAATTTTGTTTATTTCATTTTTTAAGAAAAAAAAAAATTATGTAAACGGTTCTCTAAAATTTTACTCCCTCCCCGACAGAAAATATTGGTCCAAATAGAAATTTTTTTTAATCATTCAATAAAACTACAAATTACCCAAGTTTGAGCACGATTGGAGAAAATGTTTTTTAATCACTTCACCTAAAATTCCTCATTTATATATATATATATATATATATATATATATATATATATATACTAGGGGGGCTTCGCCCCCCTGCGCGCTTCGCGCGCCAACCCCCTATTTTTTATTTTTTATTGGTTTTGTAGATGTTTGAGTTAATGTTTAAATAATTTCTGGAATTTAAAACTATTATTAATATTTTATTATTTAATTCTTCAAATGTTATTTACGATTTTTATTAACAATAATTTTTATTATTTTTAATTTTTAAAACAAAATTTATCTAATTTTTTAAATTTTCCAGCTAAAATTTGACCTACATTTAAGGTTATGTTCGTTTTTTGGTAATTTTCCTTCAAAGTTTGACCTACATTTTGAAGTTATGTTTGTTTCTTTGTCTTTTTGCACCAAATTTTAGCCTAAATTTTGAGGTTATGTTTGTTTCTTGGTCGTTTCCCGACAAAATAACTTAACCTTAAAATTTATATCAATTTCGGCGGAAAATCCACCTCTCCTTCAACGTAAGGAAGGAGGGGGGGCTTGCGTCTATATTCACAGTCTTGAAACGAACATAACCTTTAAATTCAGGTCATTTTTGGCGGGAGAGGGGGGACTTGCGGCTATATTTAGAGGCTTGAAACGAACATAACTTCAAAATTTAGGTGATTTTTGGTGGGAAATACGGAGAGAGGGTAAGGGAGGGGGGAGGACTTGCGGCCCTATTCAGAGTCTTGTAACGAACGTAACCTTAAAATTTATGTCATTTTTTGCGCGGAAGGGGGAGGAGAGGGGGGGACTTGCAGCTATATTCAGATGGGTCATTCCATATCAAATGTAACCAAATATTGTACTATCCATGTAAAAAACATGGGTTGGCTCACCCTTACCTAACCTTGTCAAAAACATGTGTTGGGTACACTTGACACGGAATGACCCATCCTTGTCAACATTTCTGAAACAGCGGCGGCGGCGAAATCTTTTTATAATATGGGTCATTCTACATGAAGTGTAACCAACCCATGTTTTTGATATGGTTAGTAGTTTTTGGCGGAGGAGGGGAAATGAGAGGAGGGAGGGGGGACTTGGGCTATATTTAGAGCCTCGAAACGAACATAACCTCAAAATTTAGGTCATTTCTGGCGGGGGAGGGGAAAGGAGGGGGGATATCCCCCCTCCTAGGTCAAAATTTGCTGAAACAGCGGCGGCGGCAGCGAAATCTTTTTATAATATAGTAATGATATATATATATATATATATATATATATATATATATATATATGTGTGTGTGTGTGTGTGATGCTCCACAAGAGAAGGGACCTATCTCTTAGGGCGCACTCACACCTTTTGGCTGCCTGCCTGCCTGCAGGAGTTGTCATGGCAACGTGTAGGAGTAACAGAGAGAGAAAATTCAAATTTGAATTTACTATCTCTGTTACTCCTTCACGTTGCCATGACAACTCCTGCCGGCAGGCAGGCAGCCAAAAGGTGTGAGTGCGCCCTTAGAAATAATATTAGGCTTAGTTTTCATGTACGTTGCACGGAAAACTAAGCCTAATGTTATTTCGGGGATTGGTCCCTTCTCTTGTGGAGCGTCACATATATGACCGTCCACGACAAAACAAGGCTTAGCTTCCAAAAAATCAATTTTGAGTTTTTGATGCTAATCGATAGATTTTAAGTTGCTCTTTCACATGCAAAAATCAGAAATTGTTTATGTCAATTACTTTTGACACTATAACGTTCTAAAGACGGGCATGTCAAGCGTGTTCCTTGTTTCTGCTTCTACTTCAATCGCTTGCCCTGCGAAATTTACTTTTGGGAGCTAAGCCTTGTTTTGTCGTGGACGGTCACATATATATATAAAAGATATTCCTAATCTTTTAGAATTTTAGCATTTCTTATTATATATGACTGTATAAAAGCGAAATGGATTAAAATTTGAAAAATAAAAGGGAAAAAAAATAAGGGGCAAAGGAATCAAAGTTACTTTTATATGTATATATCTTTCATTTAACTTTGGAAAAGCACTTTAGTCAATCTTATCGACAGACCAGTGCACAATGGTGCAAAATCTTCTTTAAGAAACTCTGAGATTCTAAAGCATCCTATTGCTTTGAACAGTGGTATTTATGCAAATCCACATGAATGTTAAATTAAATCGTGCTCACTCTAGTCAAAGTGACGTCAAGAAACTTGGAATTGGAGTCTACTTTTCCTTTAATTATTAAAAAGCTTGATTCCCTTGAGTTGTGAAGCTTGATAAATAATTTACTAATTCTCACTCTTGTATTCGCCATAACTTTATTATTTTCCAATGATTTACTGTTTTAGAAAATCGAAAAAAACCACCCTTAATCGGACAAATTCAAACTTATAGGAGATAAAAAAATTAAATAACCGATTTTTTTGTTAGTTAGTTAGTTAGTAATAGTTTTTGAGTTAGTGGAACAAAAATAAGGTAAGGTGTAAAGTTCTGTTTTTAAAAAAATCTGTTATTTAATTTTTTTATGTTAAATAATTCTGGTTAATTTCTGTTAAGATCAATTAGAATACAATATATGTGAACAAATAACCAACAAAATTTTTTAATCAGATTTTCTAATATTTCTAACCAGAAAATCGCTCACCGAATTTAATTTTTTTTTTAATTCTTTACTTGAAAATTTTTTAATTTAAATTATGTAAAAGTTGTTTTGTTTTAATTTGTTTCAAAAAAAAAAAAATATTTCATATTTTATTTGTTGGAGTAAAAAAATGTTACATTTTAAAAAAATTGTATATCGTATAAAATTCCAATGAATTGAAATACATTTTTTGCAAAACTTTGATTATTATGTTTTTTAATTAAACAAAATATGTTTGTTAAAAACAATATATAAAGTGGAATTTTCTTTTTACACAAAAGTGAGTATTTTTTTATTATTGTAAATATTTATTTATCAATATATACTTTCGTTAAAAACATGATATTTATATACATATAAAAAAAAAAAAAAATTCTCCACAGATATTTCAATTCCTCTATACAGTGTATATTATAGATGAACGAGATTTATATAATATTTGTAATATTTATACGATTATTAATCCGATTTGAGTGGATGAAAGTGTTTGTCAATATTATTTTAAACGATGTGAATCGATTTAAAATAAACGTCAAATATATATTAAAAAACATTTTTCTTTTTAATGAAAAAAAAAAAACAATTTATATATAGAATAAAATTACTAAAATACTGAATCTTATTTACTTTCTTTCTCCATGAGTTTTCTATTTTATTTGTGAAGAAAATCTTTCACTTATATTAAATTTGTATATTGCTCCTTGGGAAATTTTTTTTTCTTCGTACGTGAAATAATAAAAATTATTATAAATATAATATGCATATACTATATACATCGATATATTTCCGATCATCCCTTTTTCTCAGAGTGACCTAATTTCGAGACTCAGTTCCATAATTGAAATTAACTTAATGTGGATAGAGTGCCCTACTTTGTCCTTTCAGTCGTCGCAAAATCGATTCCCATCAGCTGTGAAAAATTATTATTTTTAGTCAGTCTACAATATCTTCACGAGAGCGTGATGTTTTAACATCTCAATGATTTTTCATTAAGAACACACATTGAAATTAACATTTATTATAAGATATGGAGTGAATTATATGCGCAATCATCAAATCGTGCATTACACATTCGTATGCATTCATTATTTAAGTTAAAATATCCAAAAAAAGGTTTACTAAAATTGAAAACAAGATTCTTGACATTTTTAAATATTTTAATTATTCTCTAATTTAGTATATACCACCTACTCTTAAATTATATTCTATAAGTATGTATTTAAATATTTAATTTTATTATTAGTTCAT